TTTTTTTTTTTTTTTTACCCGATTAAGGGTGGGGGGGGGGGGGGGGATACCCAGGAATTACTGTCGGATTTTTCCTTTTCCTTCAGCATCTGAGAAAGCTGAAGCAAAACTTCCACAGCAGAGTTTTCATTTCATCTCTCTGTGCATGAATTCTTTGCCAGAAAGTTGAATTCTCCTCATGTTCAAACTTTGGACATGTTTGTATCCTTCCCAAAAATCTGCCTGGAAAGAAAAGGTAGGGTTATTGAATTTAAAAAACCTAGTAACGTAATGAATTGTGCAGAACATATCATAAAATATTCTGCGAGCGCCAGGTCAAAACTGTAGCTTAATTAATACATGCTGTGAAGTTTTTATCAAAACACATCCTGAAACCAATTTAGGACTTCAGAACCCAGGGAAACAAACTTCCAAAGCATGGCTAAATAATAAACTCAGTGCAGCAAATTATTCCACAAGCAATATCACATCAATGACAGGCCCCTCCAGAAAGCAGAATTACGCCGTCCTGGATTGAGCAAATGGCTGATATGCACAGGAAGGGAAGGGAAGAGAACCATTGGGCTTGATTGGGGATTTATTTCCACATCTTAGTCTTTCGGGTACATGGAAAAGTACAACACTGTTAGCAAAGGAAAATATGCAGTTGTCCCTTCCTTGTGTTTTTTTAAGCTGCAAGGGAAAAAACGTATGGTGCTACCAAGGAATGGGAATACTACACTAGACTGGTAACCAGGCCAAAAAAAAAAAAAATGCTCTAATTAAACTTACGTGACGGTTTGTATCTCTCATAGATACTATTACTACCGTACGCCGCAAGACCTGTTGGCTACTGACTGGGGCCTTCCACTGTGCCCTCTCCCACGTGCAGACACCCGCTTGGTCAAATTCATTTTTCAGCAGAGTGTGTGAACCAAGTAGCTGAAGAATTTCTATGAAAAGTGGAGCCACCATATCTCGGGAGGGGGAAGCATGAGAAGACCCAACTCCCAGCATCCTCCCCTGCCCCGGCTAATCAGGATTCATTTGTTTGTTTGCTTGATTCGTGTGCCACCCATCTCCCCCGGCGGGCTACTCTGGGCAGCTGGGGTTCAGCTCCCGCTAAGGGGCCGCAGGGTCCCCAGAGCTGCTTTTCCTGAGCTGCGCAGGAGAGGCCAGGGACCCACCCGAGGCTGGGCTTCTCTCCGTGGCCAGACCTGGAAGGCATCGCAGGCCCTGCTTGCATCGCTCCGGTCATTTCCACCAAAACCCAGTCTTGCATCTTCCGCCCTTTCATTGGGCAAAACGACTCGCAGGATCGCGGGAAAAGCAGACAAGCTGGGGAAAGTCTGTCTAGTATTAAGTTAAAGGTAGAAAAGAGGGGAGCCAACAGAGAAGCCCCTCGGGGAGGGTGGGCTGATCCCCACCAGAGGAGGGGCCCCTCAGGCTCACTAGCATCCCCGGGCATCAGGGCCAAAGCATGCCCCGTCAGCGTTCAGAATGCCCTAGGCTGGCCGAGAGCTTTTGCCTCCGCCTCTTGAAGGGGGCCGGGGAAATGCCTCTTGCCAGGCTGGAGCTAGCCGGCAAGTCGCCCCCGCGCTTCAAGGGAGGCACAGGTGCCCGCTCCGAAGCGCAAGAGAAGGCAGGCTGCG